GGATCTCTAGAGCAACAAAGCCAGGACATTCATGATTTTATATATCTATCCCTATGGATATGGATAGATAGATACAGCACGAAGGAATGTAACAGCTAATTAGTCCACACAGTGAGGGCTCAGTTCAACTCACAAGAGCTGCGCAATCCAAGGTCAAGGAAGCAGACAGCTGAGTCTTCTGTAGAGCAATGCAGGCAGTCTCTGCCCAGGGGCAGCAAACAGCAGGGCAGGTCACCAACAGTCAGCCAGATGACAGGATCCAACAGTCCCAAGCTCAAGCAATGTATACACCAGCGGTGTGATTAAGCAGGCTCAAAGGAACCGCATGCTCTAGCGACATGGTCCATGGTCCCCACAGGTGTGTAGCTCGCAAGTTGAGGCAGAGAACTAGCTAAGGCAGCTGCACACTGGTCCAATCACCAGAGAGCAAGAGAGAGAGAGAGAGAGAGAGAGGCGGGGCTCACCAAGCCATTTATCTCTTTGCCCTTCAGTCAAACTGCGACTGTATTAATCCCCCATGTTCTTTTTGGCCAGGTTGGCACCGTAAACCTATCACAACAATTTTGCCAAAAATTACGAGGATTCCAATTTCTCTGCATCCTCACCAACACTCACCATGGTCTTCCCCTGCCCTCAGCATCCGGTCAGTGTTAAGTGGTGCGTCGTGCTTTCCATCTGAAGATTCCTGATGATGAATAATACTTAGCATCTCTTCATGTGCTGCTTGGCCATCTTGTATATCTTATATATCTGTTTGGACCCATTGTCTATTCTTTAATTGGGTTATCTGCCCTTTTATTATTGAGTTGCAAGTTCTCCTTATAGTTCCTGGATTCAAGTCTCTTATTGGATATGATTTGCCAGTAATTCTCCAGTTCTGTGACTCGTCTTCTCGCTTTCTTGGTGGTGTTCTGGGAAGCACAGCTGTTTTGGATGTTGCTGATGTCCAATTTCGTTTTGCTTTCCGTTGCTTCTGCTTTCAGTGTCCTCGCTCAGAGCCCACTGACAAGGCGATCACACAGATTTACACACATTTTCTTCTCAACGTTTTCTCACTGCAGCGCTTTCATTTCAAATAACCCAGGTGAGCAAAGATAATAGCTTAGACTGGGGTCACTGCACAGTGTTGAGAAGTAGTCTGATTCTGAATTTATTCTGACAGATAAGATATAGGACGAGCGAAAGCGAAAGCGAGGCATCAAAGATGACTCTGAGTTTCTCTGTTGGAGCACCTGGGAAGGAGAACTGTGTTTTAACTAGATGGGGAAGAATGGTGGAGAAGCAGGAGCGTTCCCTTTGGAAGGAGGAGCTGAGAATAATGAGTTTGGGAAAGAAGAAATGTTCTAAAATGGATGATTGTACATCTCATCGTAATATGACTGAACAATTGAATTGTATGCTAGGCGAATTCTATGCCAATAAACCGGTTCTGTAAAGCAGTTCTGTTTTGGACATCCTGAGTTGGCCAGGCCGATTTGTAGTGAGTTCAAGCCCGTGTTAGTGCTGGTTAAAAAAAAAAAGACATGCGCATGAGATAGCTGGGCTGCACAACAAGCTATTTGTGGGGGCTGATGCCTTAAGAGGTTTGCATGCAGTGCCCCATAGCAGGACACTCTCCAAAGGCAAGTCACACTGTAGCTCTCCATCAGGGGAGGGGGCCAAGGTGTTCCTAAAAGGAAAAGGGGACGCATGAGGGGATGTCTACTTGTCTAGTTAATGTCCCTCAGGGGCAAGATCGGGAGTCGCTCTCTGAGTCAGAGACCTCTGGGGACAGCAGCAGCTTAGAGTCTTTATAAATAGAGGATTGATCTTTTCTGTGGCAGTAGTCAGGGCAGTGTCAGGGGCACACAAACCAGGGTGGGGGGCTCGAAATGATAAAAATCTGCTTGGGCTATATTAAACTTGGCAGCAGTGGGCTTCTGAGCTAGCAGGCTTCCGTCTGTTGTAAAAAAAATACCGGGAGGGAAGGGGGTTAGAAAGGAGCAATCGATCACAAGGATCTACATATAACCTCCTCTCTGGGGAATGGACAACAGAAGGGTGGGTGAAGGGAGACGCCGGGCAGTGTAAGATAAGATATAATAATAATTTATAAAGTATTAAGGGTTCATGAGGGAGGGGGGAGCGGGGAGGGAGTGGGAGGGAAAAATGGAAAATGAGGAACTAATTCCAGGAACCCAAGAGGAAAGTGAATTTTGAGAATGATGAGAGCAACAAATGTATAAGTGTGCTTTACACAATTGATGTATGTATGGATTGTGATGAATTGTATGAGCCCCAATAAAATGATTTTTAAAAATTAAAAAAAAATAACATCCTGGGCCAATACACAGAGTCCATATTTAGCTCATTTCAGTAGCACTATTCAACACGGAGGGTGCAGGACTGGGCAGTGTTTCCTCTGTCCTCCGTAGGATTTCTGAGTCGGCACATAGCAATCATAAACCTGAAGTAGAGATGTCAAGAAGGTAGCTGCCTATGCAGGTCTGGAGTTCAATAAAAGGTCTAAGAATAGGTGGGAGGGTCCAGGAAGGGCCCATCTTTGACTAGCACTCAATCTAGGCCGTATCACCAGCAACCTTCTGGGAACGGGAAGACTGTTCCCCCATCGAGGGGTCTGCTGACTGTGCCTTACTCTGTGGAGTTGTTCCCTCTGTTAGATTTTTCTCTCCCACGGTTTCACTTTCTTTTAATCACATGACTGTCCCTAGAAGGCATACATCCAAACTCTTAAATCCACACACCCCCTTCTTTTTATTTTTTGCACCTTTTCAACATCACCACCTTACCAAGCGAGTCATTCTGCCTCATAGTAACCCTACAGGATGGAGTAGAACTGCCTCTTTTAGTTTCTGAGGCTGTAAATCTTTCTGGGAGCCATGTCTAATCTTTCTTCCAGGGAGTAACTAGTGGGTTGTGACTGCAGCCCAACACGTAACCCACTACAACACCAAGGTCCCCATATAAAACCAAACCACACTCACTGCCTTTGAGTCAATTCTGACCCATAGCAGCCCTATAGGACAGGGTAGAACCACCCCTGTGGGCTTCTAAGACTGTCACTCTTTACGCAAGTAGAAAGCCTGTTCCTTCTCCCGCAGAGGGGCTGGTGGTTAGTAGCCCAATGCGTAACCCACTCATATTCCTTCTGTAATCCATATGACAGTGACCCCGAAAGCATATTCATCAGGGACAGCTCCGCCTCCTTTAGTGTTTACTACAAGGACACATACTCTTTTCTTCATAAGAGCTACTTGGGATCTAAGGAAAACATGTGGGTATGTTTCAAACACATCTGCCAAGAATTTGGAGGGTAACGACACAACTTACTCCATGGGTCTGTTGTCCGGCTGTAACTCTAGTCTTAGCCTGCGGGAAGCTCTCAGTTGCTGAGGTGCATTCCGTGGTCTGCATGTACCACGGTTTGTCTAATCACGCATCCCTGGAGAGGCCTGTGGCTGGGGTCGGATTTGGGTTACTATAAAGAATGCTGATAGGAGCTGCATACGTAAATGCACCTTCTTCAGTTAGAGCACGTCTGAAATTCTCTGGGATCAATGCCCAAGGGTACCATTTCTGGGTTAGTATGGCAAGCCCACGTGTAGTTCTCAAAGAAACTGTCAAATGATTTTCCAAAGTCAGATGATTTATTTGGGGAATTTAATTCTGTCCCTGTAGAAATCGTCTATCGTTTACCAATCCTTACAATTCATTGAGTGGCACCAACAGTGAAGCACTTGACTACTTAGCCATACGATTGATGGTCCAAGCTCACCCAGGGGCATCTGAGTAGACAGAGCTGACCATCAGCTTCTGAAAGATCCCCGCCTGGGAAACCTTATGGAGCAGTTCTGCCCTGCACTCGTGGTTGGTGGGGGTGCTGTGAGGTGCCATCAAGTTGGTTTCGACCTACAGTGACCCTATGCACAACAGAATGAAACTCTGTGCCGTCTTCACAATCATCCCCACACCTGAGCCCTCTGATTGTTGCAGCCACTGTGTCAAGCCATCTCGTTGAAGGCCTTTCTCTTTTCCACTGCTCCTCCACTTTACCGGGCAGGATGGCCTTCGCCAGGGACTGGTCTCTCCTGACAACATGGCCAAAGTATGTAAGACCAAGTCTTGCCATCCTTGCCTCTAAGGAGCTCTCTGGCCATGCTTCTTCCCAGACAGATTGGTCTTTCATTTCAGTAGTCCATGGTGCTTTCAATACTCTTCTCTGCGCCACAATTCAAACGCATCCATTCTCCTTCAGTCGTCCTTATTCAGTGTCCAACTTTCACATGCACCTAAGGCAATGGAAAGTACCATGGCTTGAGTCAGGCACACGTAAGTCCTCCAAATACTCTAAAGAGGTCTTGTGCAGCAGATTTGCCGAATGCAACACATCTCTTGATCTCCTGACTGCTGCTTCCAGGAGCACTCATGGGGTTGCTATGAATTGGACTCCATCAGATGGATGCTAACACCACCACCTCTCCTTGACAGGGAACCAGCGATCCTGGAGGTGTGTATGTAAAGTCAGGTCAGCCCGATTCAAAACTCGCTTCAATCACTGATCAGCTAGATGACCTTGGTCAATATGACTTGTTCGGTATTTGTAAATTAGACATCATAGAGCCCTAGACAATTAAGACTTAACTAGAACAGCATGTGAATGAAGAGCTGCAGATGTCTGGGACACAGTAGTGAATTAATGTTAGCTCTTGACTCACCCAGGGCCAAATAATGACCAAATCTTCCTCCCAATTTGTATGATATTCAAAATTGTAACTGACTTTAAGGTTCTAAAGAAATCATACTACTAGCTCTTTTCCACATCTTTTTTTTAAACTAAATAAATCACCTTTAGTAGACTAGTTGTGCATAATCGTTCCTTTGCAAAATCATTGTTCATTTCTACCTATCAGTTAAATTTGCCTCAAGTAATGCTTACAATGATTAGAAACAGAAATGCCTTCATGTCTCTTCCTTTACATGCCATTTTGTCTCTTTTCTAGGTCAGTGAACAATTTCCTGATGACTGGTCCAAAGGTAATGATAATGATAGTAATCCTTTGATTCCTTTGGATTTCACTAATTTTAGTTTGTTGACTGAAGCTTACATATTTTTCATTGTATCCAGTCTTTATTGTGCTAGCACATATTGCATATAGTATTACCGATTTACACATAAAAAAACATGGCACCAAAAGGGTTAGGGATACACCTCAAGCCATTGAGGGTCAAAGCCAAGACAAGTACTAAGGAGGACAGAATCTGACATTTATGGCTGGAACTTTCAGAGCCAGAAGTCAACAGCCTTTCACGGGTGTCAGGCTGCAAAGCCACACATCCTTCTCAGTGCAGTTAGCTTCCCATCTTTAAACCGACCTCTAAGGTCCTTTCTAGGTCCAAAAAGATGCTACTCTAAGATAGCAGTGGGATGGGAATGGCGGGAATCCCATGGGCTGGGTGATGTCGGTTCATTTTGGAGAGGTAATACAGTGTTAGGGCTCGAGAGTCTGATCACATGGCTCTTCTCGGTCCGGACTTGTGCCATTTGCTTGCTGTGGGAACTTAGATCGATTGCTTCACTTCAGCTAGTGCTCATCGCATTTGTTATGAGACAGTACATGTTGGTCATGTTAAATGAGAAAGGCTATGGAAGCGGTCTACTCTGTCGTTGTTCGGGGGCAGAGCGGGGCAGAGCGGGGCTTTCGAACACATGGTGCCTCCCAAGTTCAGCTGCTGTCCTCTGATCTCTGATACCCCTACTGCTCCAGGCTTACTTGATCTACTCTAGCAGTGTGGCAGCTGGTGCCCAGAGTGGTATTGAAGAATGCAAATACCAGTTTGCATGGGACCGCTGGAACTGCCCCGAGAGAGCCCTGCAGCTGTCCAGCCATGGTGGGCTTCGAAGTGGTAAGGAAAGCCTCAGCCACAGCTCCCTGGACCCCCCTGGCCACAGGTTAGAGCCCCGCTCTCCAGGGACGACCGCTGCTGCCTTGATGCCCGGATTGCTCGCCTGGTCTCTTCTCTCAGGGCCACTTTCTCTTGGGTGTCATCTCTCTTCTTTCTCCAGCTCCTTGCTCCTGCCTATTTTTGCCCTTTTCTTCTTCTTTGCTCCCCAACACCTTCCATGGTTAACCAATGGGCCTTGCCTCACTCCTAAACCTAAACCATCCTTAGCTCTCCGTTGGCTAAGATGCTTCCTTATCATATACATAAGAGTAGGAGATGGGTGAGGCCAGTATTCCCTGTGCTCCTGGCCCCTTCTCCCAATCTTCAGCAGCCTCCCAAGGGAGGTACTGGGCTACCAGGACACGTGGCCACCGAGTTCCTATGAGAAGATAAGGTGTGGTTCTGTTCAGGACTGAGGCGTCTGTGTCCCAGCAGGCCAAGGGGACTGGCTGCTTTACAGTCCGACCCTCACATTCATCTCTGTCCCCACTTCTTCCTCAGCCTTTTTCCCACCTCCACCTTTTACAGCTATGAGCATCCACAAGAATCCACCCCCTTGGTCATAAGTCGTGGGACTGGGCAGGGTGGGCGGGCACAGGAGTTGGGCAGGTCGCAGAGCTGGCAGAAATCCAGGAAGAAGGTAAGTCGGGTCCTCGCACAGGTGGGGAAAACAGGGTTGGAGCTGAGGAAAGAGTGTAACACCAGGATTCAACGACAGTAACATAGCAGCAGGTCCTGGGGCTGTCCTGGCAACCTGTCCCTCTAATGGTCCCCAATTTTGGGTTCCTGCCAGCTAATCGGGAGACAGCATTCGTCCACGCCATCAGTTCGGCCGGCGTCATGTACACCCTGACTCGAAACTGCAGCCTGGGGGACTTTGACAACTGCGGCTGTGACGACTCCCGCAACGGACAACTGGGTGAGGAGCGGTGTCGGTGGGTGGCTTGGTGGCGTCATAGTCTTCTGCCGATTGATCAGAGCAGCCTGTGGAAAATGGGTGGGCCCGTTTGGACTCCATCCCTTCACTGCAAACCCTGCGCCGCGTAGCTTCGAGAGCCCATGTTCTCCCTGAGCGAGCAGTTTCCTTCGTTGCACCAAATAAGCACTGGCCGCTCCCTGCGGATCCCAACCTCCCCGGACTCTGACGAGGTTTTCCTTCCATGTCGCTGACGCTGGTCTCCTGTCCCCTCTCGGCCGCCACTTGTCCCTGTGCCCTTCTGGTTCGATTCCCAAATTCCAAGTCAGTTATTTCACTCGCAACCTTCTCTCCCCTCCGTGTCCGTGCGTCTTCACTCACCTTTTCGGTGCCATTCTGTCCCCTCCGGCCCTCAATCACCTACCAGGCACGTGCACAATGCCCAGCGGTGGCAGGCACCATCCGCGGTGGGGGCGCAGTCATGGAACCCACCCGGCAACCACTTACGTCATGGAGCTATGAGCAAGGGATTGGCTGAGCCTAAGAGGGGGGAGGGGCAGCGCAAAGGCAGCAAACCGAACCAAACCACGTTCCGGGCTCAGACTAATCCAGATCCAGCCCCCACCCTCCCCATCTAGGGTTCAAACGAATCCAGATCACCCAGTCCTAACGTGCCCCCCCCCCCAACCCGGATGCCCCACGCCCATTAGAAAGCAGTCGTCCAGGGGGTGACTTTTGCGCCCCTGCTCTTTTCCAGGGGGCCAAGGCTGGCTGTGGGGAGGCTGCAGTGACAATGTAGGCTTCGGAGAGGCCATTTCCAAGCAATTCGTCGACGCCCTGGAGACGGGACAGGATGCCCGGGCCGCCATGAACCTGCACAACAACGAAGCGGGCCGCAAGGTGAGCCCCGCGGGCTGGGGGCCCAGGCGGCCCACTCCAGCCCCAGATCCCCAGTTCCTGGACTGGCGGGGGTGAGGAGTGGGGAGGGACGAGG